GAGAGAGAGAGAGAGAGAGAGAGAGAGAGAGATAGCATGTATTTAATTCACTTCAAAATTAAATAGGAAGTAATTGAATAAACTGTCTAGCTTAATAAATATAATAAATAAAATATACAAAATATAACTTAAAGTTAAAACTTGTGCTCTTGTTTTCTCCTCCATATATATAATATGACCTAAACTTTTAGATTATAAAATTCAATAGATTTAATAGTTTATACAAAAATACAAGTTTTTGTAAGTATTTTATTGGGATATAATGATTGATTGATAACCTCTGAAGTTAATCTTTGGGATAAAATTTGTGATCCCTGTCTCAATCCAACCTTTATAGATTATTGAGAAATACTAAAAACATAATAACATATGATTTACAAATTCCTGTATGTAATTAAATACTAATTCCAATATAAAAGCTATTAACTTTAACAAATAACTTTAGGTTAATTTTGATATAGTTACTTAAAAACTAACTATTTTAAAATGGTAACTTGTATTTTTACTTAATCTATAGCCGATAGACATGGAAATAAAGATATATTTTAATTTATTATGCTATTTGTTAAAATAAACAAAACATTTAAGTTAATGATTTAATTAAATACCACTTAAGAAATACATTCATGAATATTGAGTATTGATTGAAAATATTTACATAAAAATAAATAATTATAATATTTAATTCTTATATAACTTGTAATGAATTACATATTTAATTAATAAAGTTTGGTTTGGCGCGTAAGGCGTGAATTATAACCTACATTAAAATATTATTTTTACAAATTATATGTAAAACAATGCGCTAATATTAATAAATAATAGCATAATATTGTTTAATGTTTTAATAATATTTAAGTATGTAAATGTTTGTATAAATTATAAGATGATAATCAAACAATATGACCTTTATAAAAACATAATTAGTATTATAATAATGGGAGTGTGCAAAGGTCTTTAATTAAATTATGTAAAAAGTTATGAAATTATTGTAAGTAATGAACATGCAAAATTTATGTACCGGTAAACAACATACATTAAACATGATGTTTAATTGTAAATAATGTAAATTGAGTGTGGTTTAAATAATTAAATAAACATATTGTGCAAATAATTTAACCCTGAATATTGGGGAAATCCTTGAGCATCTCGATAACTGGGAAGAGAAATGATTTTGATCGAGTCAGTCGGGTTAGGGCCTGGCGTGGTGCGTCACCTAAGCGATAACATTTATCGGTGCCCTCCTGGTAATCGCCACATAATAGATCTAGCACGTTGTCCGTCAACGAGTCGATGTACTTGAGTATTGTGTCCACCTTTTTATTGTCGCACTGTTCAACTCGTTTGCCCGAATGAACCATACAGGCCCGCACTTTCCAGTATTCGCTGTACAGGGTGTTCATAATAATAATGATATAACCAATTAACATACAGTGAATAATAATTCAAATTAATTTGATAAAATTTTTTATAATATTTAAATAAGGCATAATATTTATATATAAAGCTTTATATATATGCTGTATTGTTTATCATAGTGTCTATGTTATTTTTAATTAATTATATTAAATACTGTAATATAACATTACACAATTGTTTTGTATAAATTATGTATTTATTTTATATTATATTTTTGGTACTTACTTGCCAATTGTTATATAATAATAATTTTATATCTGGCTAGATAATTATACCGACAATCATGTAAATAAAACTTTAAATTATTATTGAATAGATAAATAATTAAAAAAACATATCATTTAACTACAAATTTATGAATATTATTTTAAATATTTATAGTAAATTATGTTAGATACTGTAATATAAAATAACGAGATTGTTTTATATTAAAATGTAATTATTTTTATAATTAATCTGGCGAAGAATTTTACCGATTAATTGTTTTAAATAATGTAATATAAAATTACACTATTATTTGCTATTAATTAACTAATTATATAATAATATTAATTGGTTAAAACATTATAATATTAAAATAATTATTCTGCATTTAGCTAGATCACTATATCTACAATCATAGTTGTGGTATTATAGTCTAAATAATAGGTATAGTAATTTTATTGTTTTACTTCATATTTATGTACTATGCAATATATGTATTTTTGTTACCTATTAACAAACTGTAATATAAAATAATTTAACTGTTTTGTATTGGCCTATTGTTGATTTTATAAAATATTTGGAATAAATAACTCTTGAGAGAAATTTTTTTAATTGATCAAGATCACAATACATTACCAGCACACGTATGGTATTTTAAGCCTATCGTCTTTGGCCGACTTGAGCGCCACCATAGCGTCAATGAGATTGTGATGGCATTTGACAAACTCGTTGGCGCCGGCATTAGCACAGGGGCTCGCTTTGAACAGATCCCGGCGCTGTTTGCTGTCTTTTTTGCACACCGTATCGAATAGAGTCTTCTGTTCCGTATATATGAACACCGATGACACTTGTTTTGGTAAATGCTCTAGGCATTTGTCCGTGTAATTTTTAATCAAGTTCAGCATGTCCATGTTTTCTCTATGTTAAATTGCATTTGTGATAGATTAATTATTCTGTAATATTTTAATATTGCTTATACTATGCAATAAAACAGTGTTTTGTAATTAATATATAATTTATGTATTAATTATGAATGTAATATTATTCTTGCACAATTAAGTTAGACAATAAGTGATATTCAATATTTATTAGGGGGTATAATCATTAGATTAGAAAAGCTAGTGTAAAAATGCAATAAAAAACTAGGGTAATTGTTATTTTTGTCATTGTACGTTTAGTTTCGTAAATCTAACTCAATCAAGGTCAACTCAAAATAATTGTAATCAATAATACAATTACTTACTGACAATAACGTCTCATTTGGCCCACATTTTCGGGCATTTTTCTATACGTCCCGATCGTTAATATACGGCCAAAATTGGTGTCCACTTTCTGTTGGACCCGAATATTGCATTCTTTGGTGTTGTTATTAATGTTATTATTAATATTATTATTGTTTTTCTGTGCGACACAAACCCATACACAGAGTGATACAAAATGACATAAAATTGCACTTAATTTCATCATTAAATAAAACAATGAATTATATAAAAATAATTAAATATAAATTAGATTTTGCAATAAAAATAATTTTTATAAAACTAATTTTAGCACTAATTTTATAAATAAAGGGCAAAATTATCCAAAATATATTGAATTGCAATATGTTTTCCAATGTGTTATGTCCTGTGCTTTCATAAGACTATAAATTATTATATATTTCCAAAGTCTTCAATGAAATAATAAAAATACTTTTTGTTTAGTGAATAAC